AAAAATAAAAAAAAAAAAAAAAAAAAAGGAATGGCCATTAAATTTTAAGGTTTTGGATTCAGCTCTAAATACATGTAAATAATTGTATGCTAGGACAGCTACAGATGTCAAAATTTCCAGCTGTAGTTACTTAGCTATCAGTTCATATTCTGTTGTTCAATCTAGATTTCTTCAATTTCTGGATTGTGAAGAACGACATTTGTATCTCAAACAGGTTAGATTTTATGGTCTTTATTCTTCACAGAAATCTTTGAGTACTGGTGTTTTGACCTACAGGGAATGATACATTCTTTGAATGTTTGTTTTTTTCCAGTAATTTATGTGAGGACTATGTTTCCATACATTCCAGTTTGTTTCCTTAGTACTAACGCTACACTGCTTCCAAAAATAAAACACTTGGGGGGAAAAAAATAAAAAAGGTAATAACAGCTGTAGATGAAAGTACCAGTTTAAATAGAAAGCTATCTTCTAATTCTGGAAAATTCAGAAGAAATGTTGTTCAATCAGTTTACTGATCTTCCTTTGTCTTATATGCTGAGCAATCACATGCCATGCAACTATATTATTATCCAATCTTGCAAGCAGACATGTGCTGTCCTTGAAAAAAAGATTATAATCCTATCTCATTATGGTAGGAGTGGCCCACAACAACTATTCCAAACAGCATGCTCTTCACATACGACCTGCTTAAGTCCCCAGACGATGGGGGATCTAACTAGGTGTAAAATCACTTTAGGAAACCAAATAGCAAAATTACTGTTGAACAATTGTCACAGTTAATAAGATCAATGATTGAATTGGCCAAAATCCACTCTTATCATTAAATCCACTGTTAACTCACAGGAAAGTGTTCAGGAGAAAAAAGTCCTACTCTGGTTAATCATTAATGTGCGTGGGCATGCCTGAATGGGATCCCAGCCCATTCAGAGAAAATTCCACAGTTGTGCAAATCATTCTGGCATGTGCTTTAATCACGTCACTTTACTACGTGATCTGTTGAATCAAGGTCTTAGCTAACTATGCCCAAACCCAGCACGCGTCTCATCTCAGTGACTCATCGGATGGGGACAGGCGTGTGAACATATTCCCTCTGTTCAATTGGAAGATCTTGGCGAGTGCTGTCAACTGAATGAAAAACACAGTAACATTGTGTTGTTGTGGAAAGTGGGGATTTGTTATGATTTATTTTCATTAGAGGCTCTTGGATTATGTGGAACCAAGTCTGCCTTTTATACAGTGCATTAAAATAACCCAGAGAACGCCAGAACACCAGCACTGTACACCAGCTCCCCTCTGCCTCTTTCTAGTGTGCACCACAGTGCATTGGCCTTCCTTGGTGGGCTGCTTGGTCCCAAGCCTGCCATCTTGCACGCTGCATAGCCCAACAAGCAAACATGAAAGAGGAACATTATTTGTTATCCTTCAGAACACTATGGCTTCTTATCTTTCAAATACCAAAGCATAGACGCTCTGAATCTGCTTGTGCTGTACCACTGCTGTCTTCTAGGCCATCTTTGACCCAGAAGGAGATACATAAACCAGGCATTACTTACTAACAACTAACTAGAGAATTTGCTCACTCTGTGCCCTCCACAGGCAGAGGTGTTCATCAGCTGCGCACCAGTCACCAGAAGGGACAGAGAAAGCCAGTCCGATCTCTGCACAAGGTCAAATTCTCACCGGCTTCAGGAGAAACATAATCCATACAAGAAGCCTGGGTTAAATATGTGCGCATGAAAGTGCAGAATGCATTAAAATCTCACTCGGAGCCTTAATGTCCAAGGCAAAGAGTACAACCCTTCTCCACTTTCAAATGGGCAACGTGACAAGAGCCTGAACACCACTGAAGTCAGGAGTACCTGTGGTACCCCTCAGTAGTTAAAGTCTTTCAGAGCCTGCGTTTTCCCATGCTGGATCTCAGCATTAATATCCCCTCCACAGGAGCTCCAGGACTGTCGATCATCTTCTGCCAGAGGTGCTGCTCTTCCCCTTGAGAGTCCATCCAGTCAACCTCCTTGCCATTACTTACACCTGGTAATCGCAAAAACACGAGGCATTTTGGCATATTAGTAAGCAGTTACTTAATACTTGCTCCTTCGCTCCAAGTCTATAGAAAGATGACAAGCACTTTACACCACCATCTGTACAGGGAGTTGTACTGAAAACAGGTAGCTCCTGGAGAGGACCAGTTTGTTGTTACACTCCTTTGTGGCACATGGACAGAGGTACATAAACCTCCCCACTCTGCACCACAAGCAACTTTCTCCTAACAGAGAGGGAACGGATTCACACCTCTTCCAAATCACACCACCATCAGCAGAAAGGCTGCTGTTGGACAAAAGTAGCCTCCTCCTCCTCCTCACTGGGATGCTAAGAAACACTTCCAAGGTATTCCCAGTTCTTCTAGACTTTGCTGAAGTACAACTGGGCACCAAATGTTTGTGTCTCACTCAGCGGAGGAAAGAACTAAACCATCTACGTATTACATGTTGCCTTCTCTCCCTCTTCAATTTCCCCAAGTTCCCATATACTTCCCATACACTCAGCAACATTTCTGTCCCTCAAATACATGAATCACTTGCAGTGAGGAAGAAGGAGAGCAGAATAAGAAAAGCAATCACGAGTCAGGTGGGACCTTACCATTTCCAGTGCTCAAACGGACACCTCCCAAAAAAATATTACTGGAGAGTGACTCCTTGTCCCACACAGTCAATTCTAGGCAGACATTACGTATATCCCTTGAATTTAAGCCACTGAAAGCAAAGGTGTGATTCCACTGGGGGTTCACGCTCTTTTTTATTATGGGAGTTTTGTGTTTTGTAGCTTTGCTGTCATCTGGGAGAAGGTATCTGGGAGATATAAAAAAGGAAAATTGAATATGTAGATGGGATGCCACATAATATTCACAAAGAATTACAATCATGTAGAGGCTCATATAGGATCAGGACCCCATTTCCCCACTGTTATTAAATTAAGTATATACCTGAAGTGCATATTTTGCATTTGTGCTCCGTTTGTTCTTACAGTTACAATGTCAGTAACCACCAGCAGAAACTGAAATTAGGTCTCCTTGCCCCATGTCTTGGGTCTTAACCACAAACTTTATTTCAATGAGACTAAATATAGACAGAATCATAAAAATGTTGGCTAGAAGGGGCCTCTGGAGTCGCCTAGTCCAGTCTCCCTCTCAAAGCAGGACAGGAGGTCCTCCAGAAAGAAATGGAAATGACTGATAAGGAAGAAATTTCAGCAGGCTAGCATCATTAATTTGAGTTGCCTAACCCCCCTATTGAGTGCAGAAACACTAATGCTGTAAAGTCTGACAAGCTTTTCACATTTTGCTTTTAGTGGAGAATTCCTTTAGTGAAACTAAGTGAACTTGATTCTCTAGTTTCAAAATCAGAGGTCTGTACAAATTTTCATAGTCTGTGCCTCCACCTCCTTCAGCAAAGCTAATGGAATAACTATGTGGTTGCACATAAATACTAAAGGGTCAGGCATACAAACAGATTGTATCACTAGACCTCCATCAGGATTCCTGTGCAGGCTTTTACTTGACAATAAACATGAGCTAGTTTACTGCAGTGGGCTAGCTGTGGGCTAGTGTATGTCAAATTATCTCAAGCTAACAGGGCAGATTAGACCACTGCAGCACCTCAGCTGGTTCACGGCAACTTGATTATGTTTAGCCATGACACATGACAGACCAACAGTCCACGGAAAACAGACTCCTGTTCCACTGTACTGAATAATCCACGTCAGTGATAGCAGACACCACTAACTAAAGATAGTCCGGAGAATTACTGGCCACACATTGCTACTGCTACTGTAAAAAGGCTTTAACGACATTTTCTCCCTGAAGTCTGTTGCAAGCTCCAGTGGGATCAGACAGTCTATTTTCAGTAAAAGGAAATGCCCTCACATATACCAGGAAAAGAGACGTGGCTTGGGAGAACAAACACATAGGAAGAATAGCTCAGACTTTTTCTACGTGAAGTGTATAAGGTTAGTAATAGTTTGAAAATCAAGATAAATTCCCAGCTCCACCAAGGAATTAAAGGCAGGATGTTTTCTATGGTCACCATTTAGTAACAACACTCAAACCATTACTAATGAACTAGAGCGTATCTAAAACCCAGCAATTCTGACAGCTAGCATTGAGAGCAAAAACTGGCAAAGAAAAATGTTTTAAGCTATCGGTTACTTCCTAAGTTTAACATTTCAAAAGCATAACTTACATTTATGAAAAATCCAATATAATGAGACATGCAGGAGTATGTCCATTTTATTCAAACACAAGTTTATCCTATATGTAGCATTTTCTATATAGTCTGGATTTTGACTGTCCAACACAAAATGCTTCTTATCTAATAAAAAGGTGCATATATGTCATACTATATATATTTTTATGTACCCACATGCATGCAGGCATATAAGTGACACAGACCTTAAATTTTTCAAAATGATGTATCTTTAACATCAAAACTGAAAGCCATCAGAGCAGAATTTTTAAACATCTTCTGTCAAAGAATATTGAACGTTAACAATGAGACACAGTTAGAGTTAAGACACTAAGTTTGAAGCCAGTGATAGACTTCCTGGGAACCCTCAGGGTTTCAATGTGCTCCTTGACACTGTACTACATGCCAAAGAGCTTTCCCAATTAAGCACTAGAAAAAAACCCCAAACTATTTATAGTATTAGAGAGAAAAATCTTTCTCATTTAGCATATTTACTTGAATCAAAACAGAATTTCCTCACACACATGATGAATTTTCTCTTTCTGTGTGTTTCAGGTGACATCCATTAGAAAGAACCTCAGCTTGATGGAGCATGCCAGCTTTTGTAGGTGTTACTTGCAGTTTTACAAGGAATCCAGACAGACTTGTGTCTTCCTGAAAACAAGTTTCTTATTCAGGATGTAGTCTGGCTATTCCTCTTAGTAAAAAATATATACTGTTTCAATTTCCTGACAATGTAAATGTCACCATCAGATCAGGTATCATCTCCAGTGTGAGGGCCCTAATTTACAACTTCTTGCCTCCAGGAGCGATGAATATTCACCTACCTCTCTCTGCCAACTCATTGGAAGTGTTTTCTTTTACCAAACGTTATATTCTATAACAGCATGCACATTAGCACACTGGATACATATGTATGAATGGTTCTGTTTCTTGACTGAGTGGTATTTAAATCCAATTGTATTTAACCACTGGGACAACCCATACCTCTCTGTCCTTACTCCACAGCATCCTTCTCTTCAGCATACCAGTACAAGGTGCCAGTTGCTTTTCAGGACTGACACTCCATACACACATATACGGATATATAAAAAAAAAATTGTGTCAGCCAAAATATGATTCAGTGCAGCCATTAAAAAAAAGGGGAAAAAAAAACCACAGACCCTTTCACAAAAGTGTCAGATGTGCCTCCTGATTTCACTGCTGTTAAATTCTTTGCTTCTTTGATGAGGACTTCTAATATACCTCCAGACTGCATGCGAAAGTCTCCCTTTTTTCCTTTTTTAAAGCTCTTCTTTCCTATACATAGAACAGAGTTGCATCATCATCATCAGAAATTATATATACACTGCAAGACTGATCTGGAAATGTAAATTGTCTTGGCTAGATTTTTTCTTAATCATTTACTGCAACGGGATTAAAGTATTCCTTATGAGGAGATTCTGATTCTCCATGGGTAGAGAAACTAAGGCAGGGGCAGAAAAATCACTCCATATATGATAAAGAACTTGACAATGTAATTAGCTAGCCCTTGCTGGACACAACAGGGTGCCCTATCTGAAGTCCTGTCCGAATATAAGTATTTGTGGCTTACTATGCTGAACACAAAGAACTGCATATCCTGTAAGTCCTACCCTCTTTTCAGAATCCACTTCCACCACTGATGTTAAGGCAGCCCTACACCACAAGCAAGGTGGTATACCAAAGCTTAAAATGCAGGAGTACACCAAACGTATCCCATGTGTGAGGATGCACTGCTCCTCAGAGACCATGACAAAGGACCCGGTGCTCACTGACTTGCTACTGCTTTTGAACAGCAGCATGAGGACGTGTGTAGTTGCTGCTGCTGCAGATTCTAAGAGGCTTATCAGCAGGGATTATACACACTGATTCAGGCTGAAAACATCAGAAAAAAAAAGATCAGGAGTGATGTTAAAATGTACTAATTTAAAAAAATGCAGATAGTGTATATCTGGACTTTTCAGACAACAGTTAGCTTTTAAGAGAGAAAACCCTGGAATTACTGCTAGCGGAGGGAATGTCATCTGTCAAAAAAAGAAAGAAAAAGAAAGAAGTCTAATATATCTATCAAATCCTAATGCTAACACGCAATACTGTCACTAAGACAGTGATATACCTGTGTCTGGTATATCCATGTACACTCAGGTGCTACCCAGTGATTGCTTTCACTTCAGATGATTGCTGTTCTTCATGCTACTGCAATGCAAACAGTTAGTAGCTATTTTTCCCTGTTCATTGCTGATGAAAATAATGGCTTACCCTAAAGAATTCAAATAACATTTTACAGGACTGAATTACAGCAGTAATACAGTAAAACTGAGCAGAGGTAAAGCAGTGTTAAAAATGAGTGAAAATGAGGAGATAAGTAAGCTTAAGAACAATTAAGCATGAAGAATTAAATGAAGTCTCTTACTTTGATCAGCTATACACTGTACATAACTAGCTGAACAAAGAACCCACAGACTATTATGTAGACAATTTATTTCTATGTGGCTGCCTTCGATCATGTTATCTAATGTCTGAATTGTTTTTAATTAGGTCACAGCCGTGCATCAACACTTGACTGCACGCTCCTCTTCCCTTCTCTTTCCTTAAGTTTAATGTAAGAGAAGAGGATGGAGCAGGAGAAGCATACTCACGGTTCAAAATTTCGACAAAGACAACTAGCATACTTAAGTATAATTTCAGTTTTCACTAATACCATTACTTCACCCTAGGTGAGGATTTTTAATACTCAGAGGGATGTTATCATATGGTGCCATTAATGTTTGTTTTACCTTGAAACTGCCCTAGGGGAAGCATTAGGTTTCTGTCTGGGGGAATGTAACGTAAAACAACAGTCAGTTCTCCTTTATATTGAAGCCCAGCATCTGTCGCAACCTCCACCTGAAAAGAAACAAACAAACAAACCGACCAGAAATCCAGCTAAGGTTAATCATTCACTTTCTCCTTTTGATTTTAATTTTGTTGTACCAATACAGTGTTTGAAACACTTCTTAAACATATCAGGACATACCAGCCCACTTTCAGATAATTAGACATTCCAGATTGAATGCAATCACATTTTAGAAAACTTTATGAGCTAGGGAATGCAAGCTCTCAGAAGAATAAAGCCACGCGGCATTAGACACTGTTCGGTGAACGTACAGAGGAGAGAGATATCTAGCATGAATAAGTGAAGCAAGCAAACAGAAAAAAAACCCTAAAAACATTAGAGAAATGTTTTTATCTCTAAAAACATTAGAGATCAGGTCTATGAAAAACTCGGGTATATGCTAACCTTGCTCAGTGAAGTCCACTAATGGAGGGGGGACTACTCACATTTCTGTACATGCTTCAGTGCTTCGGTTTGGGTACAAATCAACAAATCTTCCTGATCTCTCAACAGGGACAAAGCACATGTATAAAAAGAGAGGACCCTCAAGTGCTGAGACACACACACCAAGGTACCACACAAGCCTTTAAAGAACTGCTTATAGACGAATGTCTGATCAGTGACAGTATTTCTCTGAAATGCATTCAGCTTGTTTCCTGACTCCCCAGGAAGGTCAAAATTCTATTATCAAGAGAAAACAGAACCAAAAAAACCCACCAGAAATACACACGGTGATACGCAGAGAGTCAGCACTGCTTTCGTATCATAGAGACCAGGCTAAGGCACTAACCATGTTTAGTGGGGCTAAGTCTGTACACAAGGATGGGACAGGGAACAAAGCAATTTTAGCGATAACAACGTGGCCCTTTTGAGACTTTGAAGCACTTTTACAGCAACACAGGCATTCCTGCGCTGACTCTGAGAAAAACGGTCCTGTCTCCACCACTGTCTGACGCCAGTTGCTACAACAGAGGACAAAAGAAAACCTGTAGTAAATGGCTGTGGAATAATTTGCACAACATCTAAATCTTGCCAGTCAGGCAGCTCACTTATGGTCTAAACTATGCATGTTTAGGCTCAAGTTTCCCATAAAGGCAGCAAGGATTATTTTTTCTATTCTACTGGTGGACAAGTGATGGTGTAAGTTCTTACATCAGGAACAATTGTCAACCTCCCCCCCAAAACCCACATAGAACGTGGCTCTGGACTCTGCCCCCTCTTTAACCACAGAACTATTTTCTCTTCTTTTTCTGATTTAACCACACTCCTCTTGAAAACAGACATTCAATGCTCATAGAAGAAACAGGTCTTAAAGTCTCCAACCTTTTCACTAAAGCAGCTAAATGATTCATGATAGAACAAATAAAGCGCCGTAATAAAACCCGGGAAATGTTTCACTGCCATTCCTGTCTCTATCAGGCAGATCATATGGGAGAACAGCATGTAATTTGCATGTGTATTAACCTGTGCTTTTTTTAAATTCAAAATGCAATAATTGATATTTTAAAAAAATATTATCTTTGCTGATCAAAAATCTTAGCAGCATTTTAAGTTTAGAAACATTATTTATAACAACTTAGGAGGCAGCAAGACCAATTCTGTGTTTGCTTTCTTTGGTAAAAAAGAACTCATTTAAAAATCCTTTTAACGGGTTTGGAAATAATCAGACAACACCTTCCAGCTGGAATGGCTGAAATGCTTAGTGCCTCATTACTTTTTTCCTGAACAGGAGAGCTTCATGACTGCCTGGGTTTTTTTCCCCTTGTTAGGATTAAAAGAAACCACCCATACACACACAAATCCCCAAAGATTGACATGAGATGACAAAGAGACTACTGCATGGCAAGAAGCTCAATTTCAGACCAACATTGCATACAAACTGCAAGCAAAACAAATACTAAATGTGTATCTTATTATTTAGTACCCACCAGTCTACAACAAGAGCAACATCTGACACCAGCCAGAGCTATGACAGAGATGTAGTAGACATTTCTTCTACTTCAAGAGAAGACCCAACAAAAGTAACTTACACGAAGCAAGCTTGTAAGGAGGACAGTATAGTCCTGGCCTGGACACAGCGCTGACTGAAACACATTTGACATCATTAGCCACTTTCTCTTCCTGGTCTCACCTTGTCTGGACCATGAAGGAAGAGCTGGTGGTCACCCTTACTAACAAAGCTGAACTAGGAAACTGGGAATGATCTTCCTTGCCACTTATAAAGTGTGAGGCGTGTAAGTGTTCAAAGAAGAGACCAATTTCCTTATGTATCCTCTGGCAAATTATTTACTAAAATATAAATTTGTGACAGTTTAGATGTAAGCCTCACAAAGGTCTATACCTAGAAATTAATTATACAGCAATCAGATCCACCTCCCACCTGAGAGAAAGGCACAAATCAAACACTCCCTCCTAAAACCCCAAATGTAACACTATTTCCTTAAAAATAATGAACACAGAGGAAACAAGTCATCTGAGTCTATCTCCACATCACTTGCAGTAAAACCTTGGATTTTTCTGCAGCAAGAAAAATACACTTTCTGAAACGGCAATCTAAACCACTGGAATTTCTGGGGATTCTGGCTGCTGCAGGAGCAAGCAACGCAGAAGCCTTTAATCTTCTAGCTTACAATAGCTCTTTGAATCTCTTCCAAAAATAAACACCTTTGCCAAAGCAAGGGGGGCCCTAGAGACAGAAGTCATCCTATCCTTAGCTAAGTACAATGCAAGTCCTGTTTCACAGACCAATTGATTTGCCTGCTGAGAAGCCTTATCTTGTACCTTCCTAGTTAAAGTGAGTAAGAGGTTAATAAGTCATTTTGTCACAGCTGAAAAAAGTGTGAAGCGCTTTGAACTGAAACAAAAAAGATCTAGATCTTTAATAAACTGTTAAGTGTTGAGTAGGGGGGAGTGGCAGAAAAGTCTTTTGGTTTACATGCTATTTTAAAAGAGTAATCGATTTCTTTACTAGGTCATTTCTCCACTGCAGTTTATTACAAGATGAACTTAGAGTTTATTTAAAAGGTGGGGTTTTTTGTTTGTTTTTAAGTAGCCGATCACATGTAAAGTTTTCATGAAGACTTTAAAACCAGTATGTTTTGATTGAATAAAGAACAAAGATATTATTTTTATTACCATATTAGACACTCATAAAGTCACCGCTTTATAAACACGTTCCAAAGGAAAAATAACTAAGCCTTGCTGAATTTGCTTCGCAACACTTTCACCGGCCCCTGGAAACCCTTACCTTGGGCTGAAGCACAAACCACTCATCGCCCTGATTTTCGAAGTTCCAGGAATCGAATGGAATTTCCACCTCCCCAAGGAAGCTGTTGTGTCCAAACCTGTCATAGTGCCAGACAGAAAGCTGCAGGGTCCTGGTTTCTAGCTGTGTTTGACTGATGACGTACTACCAACAGAAAAAGAAGAAAAAGAAACTCTCGGAATAAGCATAAATAATAGTTTCCATGGAGCCTTTTACAGCTCTAGCTCAATTTCATGAAGCCCACAGCAGCTGACAAATGAAGCATGAAAGAGAGATTTGTTTTCTTTGCAAACAAGACAGACCTAGCTAGAAAGCTCATAATATTAATGTTAAACCTAACTCTTTTCTTTGCAGTATGCATCCAAAGGTAATTAATGTTACTAGCATGACTGTGTTTTTTCTGTATTATTTACTGGGTATTTCTGACTATAAAGTAAGTTACGATGCTTAAAACGATGATCCTGTTAATTGCTTATATGTTTATGTAAAAGAAGCAGATCAAAATCAAAGCTGAAACAAGAAAAACAAACACCACTAGCACTTTCATCCCGAAAGAGAGTCTGCTGTACTCTACTTTCTAGAAATAGTGTCCTCCTCTCCTTTTCAATTGTATCTTTGTAACTTATGAAAAATTGTTCTGAAAACAAGTAAAACTGCATGTGAAGCGCTTGGTGAATGCTTTGCAGAGTTAGTAACCATTGCTGGTTTTGAAAGCTATTAAAAAAACTCCTCTGAAGAAACATCGTATTCTAGCAAATACACAGAAAATTATAAACATCTGGAATTCTAGCTCTGCACGCTCTGCTTTTAGCAAAAGGCCCATTAATTCTCTGAAATTCACCCTTCTCCTAGTGTTAGCTGAGGAGACCCAGATGTCTTCTTTTTTGCATCAAGAACAACGTCTGGACACAGACACATATTCTCCAAAAGCTGAAACAGTCAAGTCAGTTGACGAGCCACACAAGTAGGCTATTCCTGTATTGGTAGGTCTACAATGCCTAATCCTAAGTGCCAACAGTTCCACTGTGAGAGATGTCATATTTAGCAACAATGGAATAAAAGTCAAAGAGGGAAGATACAGATTTAATTATTTTTCTTTTCTAACAGTAGTGACAGTTGGGACAAATAGATGTAGTTCTTGCTTACCTACCCACAGTTCAAGTGAGCCCTCTTTGTTACAATTCGCATTTTTAGCAAGCTGCTAGGTCCTATCCTCACCGAGTTCCCTACTAGCAAACATGTTTAGTGCTATGTTCCTTGCTAAATAGAGTCTAACACCTTTTTTTTCCAGTTCAGGCAAGTCTTAACTTTACTATAAACCATTTAAAAATGAGGCTGTACAAGAGACTCTCCCTTGGCAAGCAGTCTGGCCAGACCAAGTGTGTGTAAGTCTGCAAAATGGTTTTGCAGCCAGGTTAAGCCAAGTATACTGGCCAGGGAACATCTTTTAGCCTCTATTATAAGAAACTTATTTAAAACATCACTGAAATTACAAAAAAATATTTCAGGAGAAACTAAAAGAGTTTCTGGCCTCATGACAGCCATCCGGGATAACTCTTGTCAATCAAGAAGGAAGGGGAATCACCAGGAGCCTTGTGGTCCAGATGCCAGACAGGCAGTGAACTGGGCAGAAACTCTGCCATTCCCACCTGCACCACAGAGCCAAGGAGATGCATAAGCAGCTCGTGAGGAGCTCAGAATAGTTCAGCCTCTGTAGTGGACGTGGGTAAAAGGCAAGGAAGGAAGAGCCCGGGCGCTCTGCTCCACCAGCCCTCAAGGAAGTAATCTGTCACTGTCTTTCGCAACAGAAAATGAACTTCACCACAACTTTTTAGGAAGGCGGGTAGTGAAGTCGTTGTTGGCATCCTTCGCAACAGAAGATGAACTTCACCACAACAAAGGCGGGTAGTGAAGTCGTTGTTGGCATCTTCTTATCGAAGTCAGTTCTGCTTTAAAAATAAATTAAAGCCTCCTTCGAAATTCAGATTTTACTGCAAAAGGTTATTTTCTCTTCAAAATCACTTAGATGGGAAGTTTTAATCTAGCTCTATTTCAACATCAGTTGCTAACTTAGGGCTTACAAAATCTTTAAGGTGCTTTTAACATCTCTGAGCTCAGGTTAGACAGGAACATCAGCAGTTTTGAAAGAGATCTATGGAAACTAATAGAAGTTTTACCTACAAAGGGAAGAACCAAACAAAAACACTTCCTCAATGCTGAAAGCCAGAAATTACAACTCATAGGATTACTAGACGGTTTTGCTTAAATACATTCCTTTTGAGGCATCTCTTCCAAATTCTAATCCCCGTACTGGAACACTTATAGAAAACGCCTGTGAGCACAAGCGGAACATTCATCACGGCCTGAGAGAGAGACAGTGTTCTCACCTTCAGCGTTTCATTAAATTCTGGATTGGTGCTGTTACTTTTAATTTTGGTCTTGCGTTTACTTTGGCGGGACGTATCAGGCAGAAGGTATGCTTTGACATATCTGCAGATCAAGTAGTAAATTATTAGCAAGGAATAAAAATGACCAGTTTGAGCAAGGGCCTGACATTGCTGCATCAGCAACACATACAAGGAAATTAATTTTTGCAGTCTAAACAACATACACGTAACAGAGAATATGCGAAACGTGGAAAGGTACGGTCTTTCTTTACAAACATAGCAATGTTATTCAGATAGGATCAGAATAACAAAAGGCAGAACTAAATTAATTTACTCATCCTCAGAAACGCAGAAAGCTTTCCTAACACTTTCCCTTTTGTAGTATACGATTACTGACTGGTTACATATGAGGACACATACACTGCAAATACAAAAGAATGAAAAACTTCATACCTTGCATACAATAGGATTACACATGATTAGAGACACTAATTATTACTTCCTGATGAGGGAATTTACATATTATGCTGAAAACTACAATGAGAAGCTCAGAAAACATGCTCCTTGCAAAGTGAATCTATGGATGCGTGAAACCCAAGTTATCTCTGTCCCTCCCTCCAAAACATCACTCCTCTCCTAGAATCAAAACTAAAGTATGTAAGTAAGAAATCAATTCAGCCTCCCTATTCCTTCATTTTTTTTGCCCTTTTGCAGAGATTGCTATCAAACAGGCTGATAATTTAAGTAATCTTATTGTTTCCTCAGAAGAGGCACACGTTGCCCTAAGAAACATATTGAAAATGCATTTCCCTCAGGGAATCCAAAACCAACCATCACCAAAACCCTGGCTTGTAGCAACCGGGTCCTATGAGTTCTCAGGCTCGTATCACAACCCCAGGCTACATCACTGTGCGTGATGTGGCGGAGGACACCCCTAGCAGGGCCTAAAAGGAAATTCTTCTCTGTGCTTACGGATCGGTCCTTTGCTTCTTCTCATCTGCAATGGCCAGGTTCCTGCAACTTTTTACCAGGATGTTGAGGGCACCTGTTTTGTAGCTGTAGTTGATGTTGAGAAGGATTTCGCCGCTGACCTTCACGTTGCCATAGTCACCAGTTTCACTATATACACTCAGCATGCTGTTAATGCTAGTCTGGACGGGGAGAGAAAACGGACTTACAAGGCTTAAATAAATTACTCATTTCCAGAATCTGCTTTTTTCATACAGTCACAGCCTTGCAATATTGCACACTTGTTAGGACTTGCTATAAAACCAGATATATCATAGAAGCAAGTGGTATTTCTGTTCTATTTGATGTAAATGGGAATAAGAACTATAATTAATAATGGCTTAAATGTCTAGACAGTTGATGTTTTTCCATGCAGGACTCAAACCTATTTATAAACATGACTAAATCTAAATTACCACTATTTAATTCATGCATGAACTGAAGAGCAGACAGGCTACATAAATTGTAAGCTCATGTAAGTTCCAAACAGGAAAAAAAAAAAAAAAAAAAAATCCCGTCTGGCTCAGCTGTCCACCTAATTCTTACTGAGTCTTGTAAGACAACTGCTGATAGAACCATTAGAAAAAGTTATAAGGATGCTTCCCATAATGGAGATGGTATAAAAGCATGTTTGTTTAAAGCGACACCCACCTCTCATCAGTAATTCTAAAAGAATGAGCAAAATTCCATACCCACCATTTCAGCAGTTTTCCTAAAGCCAAAAAAGTTTAGCAAAAATCCCACAAAATTTTCCACTGCAGCGTAATATATCACCCTCCAATCTCTTTTTTTTTTTTTCACTCATACCATACAGAAAATTGCTATGAGGATTTCCTCTTCCAAAAGATTACAGTTAGGAAAGAACTAAATATTTTTAAAGAAAACCAGAGCAATATGCACACTGCCAGAACCAAAGGTATTTGAGAAATCTGGTGCACGTTTTCTTTTGAGTCATTGAGCAAGATTGCTCAAAAACATATATAACCATCTAAATCCTAATACATAGGAATCTTGCAAGACACACAGGTATAGTCTTCAACACAAAGGGAGAAAAGAGAGAGAAGCTTTAAAAGTAAGCTAAGCAGAGGACTCAGGAGAACTCACAGTATCACCGTCTGTTTCAGGCACATTTAAATACGTCCATTTTCTGTCAGAGCCTTCTGGGGAGTTCTTTAAAGGAGGCAGTGCAAAAGGCCAAGAGAAAAGAGCATTAGATAGCTGCAATAAGAAAGAATAAGTGCAGTGATAAATCTGCCTATACAGATAGGTAAAGGAAGTTTGTATTGCAAAGCCATAGCAAGCAAGCAAGAAAACGTATCACCAAATCAGAGAAAAGCCAAGTGTTTTCCATACACTTCAAGTATTGAAGGACACGTGGCTCAAGGTAATTAAATAGAAATGAAGTATCTGCTGTATCAAAATAAACAAATTACATTTTAGAACACCAGCTCAGCAGATTTGGATTTGTATTGGTCTGTGTTTGGATTTGTCTTCATTTACGTCTGCATGAAGTCAATTCTCACTTAAGCTACTCAAAAGCTAAGCATTCATGTATTTGCAGGTTTGGCGCCTTTGTAAGAAATTGCAGTTTCTCTGCGGAGTATGCAAGAATAGATAAAAATGCTCACAAATGTTTAAACACGTCACTCTGGGGAAAAAAATACAGTAATAGAATATTGGGGGAAACATTTCCCCCCCTCTGCTTGCTACAGCAGTTATCTGGAAATCTCCCCAATGAGCTCAAGGGAAACTACATCTTGATCTACCTCCTTCCTTATCGGCTGCAGGGAGGAAGGAAGAACACAGTCAAGGGGAAGAACCACACAAACAGAATTGGGCTGTGGCTAAACTCAGCTCTCCGAGCACCTTGCCTAAGGGCCCTGCAGCAAAGAAAGCTGGAGGGATGACCAGGCCTGTGTCAATATGCTGAACAACAACAGACATGAAAAACCAGAACAAGCTATCATTATCCATAAAGTTAATTTTATACATCATGTAGGAACAATAAACAGCAAAAAAGGGTGTGGTTTTTTATTTCTGCTGGCCTTCTTTATCCTTCGTGCTTGTCCTTTTATTCCTTTGTACAATTGGCTGAAATTCCATGAACAGGACTGGTTAAAATTACCGGAGAATTAGCAACACACACCGACAAAGGTGTCATATTTCCTCCTTTCCTAACATGCCTTCGAGCTAAATTCCAGCCTTTACTATTTATGCATTTCCAGCTCTAGCGTACATGAAAATGGGCATCCCTGCACACTGTTAGTGAACTTAACAGTTCCAGTATGTGCTACAAAATGCCTAAATTATCCCTGTAACAGGAAAGCGACAATTTGTGTGCCCACTTCAGAAAACAAACAAGGTTATACCAACGTGAGGAGGTGGATGAGTTGTTCTCTACTGAATCCAAATATTCTTTTTCTTGATCTTTACGTAAGTGGGCGGCAAGGGATAAATGATTAGGACTTTCTGTGGGGTTTTTTCCCAAACAAATAGATGATCTCTGACCCTAGAATTTATGCAAACACAATTTCTGAATTGTTTACAAACCACAAACGAAATAACACAAATTTAGTAGAAGTATTTGATATACTTGACTTTTTTCCCCCCAGACTCTGTTCTGTGGCATTTACACTGGACATTACATACACTAAATGTCCTTAAGAAATCTACTAATTTTCCAGTTTCATAAGTAGTAAACAACCACCACATATGGAGGATGCGGAGCCTCATTTTAGTACCTCACTAAGAATTGTATTTGTTTTGGATCATCTCATCGCTGCAATAAGGCACTGGAACAATTCAGTCTTACTGATGTGATGGGTCTTGACAACAACACATTAGTATGTTTAGGAGAGGAATCGGTGAAGGATGCAGGGAAAACTAAATACACAGTTCATGTATTAGCTTTGGGAAAACACAAAGGAAAATACCCTAATGCTGAGATACTGTTCCTGTTCAATGTCACTTTCCATTGCCGTTTTTGCTCACTGATGTTACAGGTAGATTTCAAGTAGATTTACGCTTTGAGATATTTCTTCCTTTACCTCAAAAGCTCATTGTCAGAGTACCCATACTGTACTTTAAATTCTCATATTTGAAAAAAGAAAGAAAAAACAAACAAAAAAAAGTTAGACCCTACTGTTCATTAATAACATTATTTCAACATGACTTAATAGTACACAGTCATTTGACAGATAAGTACATGAAAAAAAATCCATACAGTGCACAAGGCTCAAAGGCTTACAACAAGCAGAGTAAAGGCAAAAATAAGAGGGGGAATGTTAGAAACTAGTAACACACACTTAAGGGGAATAAAAAAAAAAGAACCTGTAAAATTGACCTGCTCTTGCAGGGAGAAGCAGCTTGCCATTCGCAACTTCGCCATTAACATAGCATGCAGTGACATTAAAAATCATGTCATGGTGAATACAGAGAAACAAGAGCATTGAGAAGTGAGGTTCTCTCAAACCTACAGCGCAGGAAAAGCTACGCTCTGCTTAAGAAAAAGGTCAAAGGGAAATCTACAGCAAAGGACAAAACCCAACACACAGACAGAATGCTGCCTACAGCACATAGAGGGAAGGCTCTCTAAATGCAGTTCCTCAGTTAGTGGCCTAAACGGAGAAAGCACTTAAGCACCTGCAACCCTCATATCAATATTCAGAGGAAATAAAAATAATTCTGTCTATAAAATCCATGGGACCAGCAAGCATTGGAGACAATGAGTCATAGTCAACCTCAGACAAGTGGGTCTAATTAGACCACTGTCAACAGGCTACATTTGCTCAAGTCTGATTTGGTGTGAAGTGCCACACGTTTCTGTTGTGTCTGTTTCTGTGAACTACACAAATCAGAAGGGAAAACGGTCCGGACATGGCCAGATCTAAGATACCAAAATGCTCTGTCACAGCAATTTTCTGAGCCCTTTCTCCTCCCCAGGTAAGCCAAACTTGGATTCAGCCAACTCCATCTCTTTGGGATCAAGCACTTAAGTGGGCATTCCCTGGGCCCTGCTTGCATGGGAACTAATGGGGATGCAGTCTAGAAAGGACAGTTCATTGCTTACTGTCATGGACCAAATTTTCTTCTCCCTTTTAGCATACAGACTCCTCATCTCTCTTCATCCTCTTCAACTCTCATCTTCTACCTGGAGTTTGTTGCAGTTTTCTGGTACTCTATATGCTGACCAGAGCTATTCTTAGGCACAAGTCATGAAGAAGAGTGGCCAGAGAGGGCTCCACGACTTTTCTGAAGATGCTATCAGTTGCCCACATCCTAAGTGTCAGATCCCAAAAACGAGGTACACAGCAGGTAGACATAAACTAGACATGTTAAAGGCTACTTTTATCATCCATTTTCTTTCCCAGTGAATAACGACTGCATAACGAACTGCATAAGGCTTGTTATACCAATTTTGTTGCATCTCAAGCACCTGTTACAACCTGAAAACACAGCTATCCTTTTAAAACCAACGTTAAGTTTCAACAGTTAGACAACCGCAAGACTCAGACATCTGATTTACAGTATATAGTTTGTGGGTATGACAAGAAACGAAAGGATGTAACAGAAAAATACTACAATTATAGCAAAAGGTAGAAAAGTTGTCACCAACCAAAATCCCCAAGTATCTCCCTCCTCACTGTAAAGAGAAATACTTTTCAGATGTGGGTGACATAGCAGTCATGAAGAATGGGAGAAGCTGGGTTGGGGGATGGACAATGACGCCACAGAGGTGGTATGTATGCAAACATACAGATGAGTATTTGTGTCCCAAGAACCTGAACAATCAGAAAGTGGTTTGAGATGGAAGAACCCACCACAGCCTTGTTCTCTTCATTTCAAATAAATTAAGTGCTCCTCTGCAAAGCTGAGCAGTCATGTACTGCAAACTCCTATGGTTTGCCTTCTCCACATGTCAGCTTGGTAGTAACCTCAGCATGTGAGGAAATCTGCCGATGAGTATGCAAAATGGTTTTCTCTTCCCATGCACTGCAGAGAACAGCATTTTAGCTTTGAACAGCATTAAAATATAATAGAAAAACTATCTAAATGTTAAAGGAAGTTTCTCAAGTGCAGGATGAAAGATGATCTGCTGCTAAATGGTATGAAATTAAACTCCTTTTTGGAGGAACTATGGTCTTTTGTGGAAGGAAAAAGCATATGTTTTCTACTCAAGATCTTACTGTTGATAATCCACTTGTCAAATGTCCATGTTTCCTTGAATAACGAGAGGCCACTATGTCATCAATATCTTCTTCTGTTTCATCCAGATAATCCTAAATGACAAACAGGCATTTTAGTCCTCATGTTCTGCTCTGTATTTGGTCAGCCTCTGTTGCGTAGTTTTGTTTCACGTATTTTCCACTTTAGGAAGACGGTGCAGGATGCATTCAAAATTCTAATCTCTAGAGGAATTTTGATTTACATTTTCCACATCTTTGCACAGGCACACAGCATAAGGGGAAAAGATGCTGTTACGGTTTCAGGGTTCAATTGCTTAAGAACTGAAAAACTTGACACACATACTTCATATCTTATTCTGGAGGCGCATACCTTTGCATGGCCAACAACTCTGCACATAAACAAAACCCACTTCCATGCCTACTAACAATCCCATGTGAATTACCTTATTCTACTTACTACTATTTGCATTCAGGAATTCAGGTCTGGAAATCTTAGAGGGACATGGTGAGAATTTTTCCAATCTTAACAAAAGAAATGAGTGAATTAAGGTCCAATACCAGGGGCAAGGGCATCATTGATACTGGTTTACCCGAAGACATTTGCAGCCAAAAGCCATTAGATGATTGATTTCTTGGTTACAGTCCAGGTTCCGTGTTTTTATGGGATATATTTTTTACAACCCAGCAATCCGATTTTCCAGTTATTATCCACATTTATATCAGTCACACTCACACAAATAGACAAGCACACAATTTGCATTACACTTGCACCCTTTCATGCTGTCTTTGGTGACAGGTGACGATTTCATGAACAGGATCATTAACACAGACCCACTTTCTAACAGGCAATGCTGAAAGCCCCCGGTTATTGTCAAACCACATGGGAAGAAACTTGTCCTCCCATCGTACACACTGAACATATTTGAGGGATAAACAAAAAAACCCAGTTGATGTCCATGTTTTAAAAATAATTAAATTCCTGTATTATTTTAATGTTTTAAAAAAAAAGGAGGAAAAATCAGTAATTGCACAGCTTCATATATATGCTTGAGTTTTAATAAGCAAGACTGAACTGTAACATCTTTAGCTCATATACAGGAAAAAAAAAAAATCATTTTTTAAACACAGCAATAAAGTAAAATCTAAAAAGAAACTTAAAATCTGGTTGATGGTCCTAACAGAACTGTTAACTTTAAGTAAAAGTTACCGAAAAAGCCCCAACAGGCAGCTATCATCCTATTAAGTGTAGCTTGGAAATTTCAAGCGTTTCCTTAAACCTTATGGCAGGTATTTTTAAAGACTCTGCTTTTAGTTTGAATGGAAGTCAAATGTTCAGCTTCCTTATATCTGCTTTGCAGCTATAAAAACCTCACGTGGTGACCTACCTACCTCTATTGCTTAGTCACTCTCACTCTCTCACACTAAACAGAGAAGTACTGTATTCAAACTCAGGAGTCTCAGAGACTTCGATGCTAATCAGGAAAAACGGAGCAGAGAAGAAACGCTGCTGGAGAGTCGAACTGTGACAGTTTATGTAAAGATCTGCAGAGCATTTGTCATTAGTATGCATAAAACTAGCTGTTACATCTCTTCTTCTTTGCTCCAGTGACTGAATTGAAATAAAACCACCTGAAAGTAATGCTAAATTTTCTATTACTACTTTCCAACTGTAACTGCATATTTAATATTGAGCAGAGGGAAATCAGGACAAGCCATCACTCTATTTGAGACCAAAATTTACATACTGAAGCAAACATTCCTCTTAGCTTCATGTTCTTGCAATGAGCTTCCTCTGCTGGTCTCTTCTCTTTCTAATCTATTCAGGTCACTGTTACCACCCCGCAGAAAAAAGAAGTCATAGATACTTTATACTCTAAGGAAAAAGTCCATGGAGACCCAGGCACAACAGAGCAAACTATTTCGGGAAGACAGATAGAAAGCTGAATCCTTCAAAAGTAAAAACCAAAAAAACCCTTAAAACCAAAAAACCCCACCTCACCCTTCACTTCTACTCTCCTCATTGACTTCAGAATTTGGGTGATGTACTCAAGTTTAAAACTTGGCACAAGAATACACAATTTTCTTTCTTGCCCATGCAACAGAAAGAAGCAAATCTGGTAGCACATGCAAAACTCTTTCCTTTACGCTGCTGTATACATACCTGTGGACTTTAAAATAAACAATGCTACATTTTCATTGCTGAATAATTAAATACAGGACAAAAAAAGTAAGGCAACATCTTCAGACTGGGGTGTTTCAGGTCTAGACACTCAAATATTAACAGTGCTTCACAAAGAATCCTAACGACAGCTAGCTGACTACCAATTTTTGTCTGCAAGCAGATATCTAAAACTAAAAAAAATGGTTAACATTTAACCTATGCTCTTAATTCATTTTGCACCACAAATGATTATGTTTCTCAGGTGGAGTTACAGAACAGCAGCTACATAATTGGTTAGTGTTATTAGCTTATTAAAGTTAGAGCTAGTAGGACATTAATCTCATGGTCTCCAGTGGGGGTTATAAAATGCATATTATCCAATTACTTCTAATAAAGCAGCTGAGCATGTAATGAACACTACTTGGGCAGGAATTCAACACATACCTCTCTAGAGAAGGTGCTCACACTTGAACACAACACTAGATTTAACTGGTTCCCCATACTCCTTGATAAATACGTACTACAGTATGTGGATTTCTGGGAGTCGTCCCTTTTCATTATCGAGAGCAATGTTAAGTTAGAGAAGCAAAATACCCATTCGATTTTCCAGCTGATCTCTCTGCATGTGTAATGGGTTTTCCTGATAAAGCTGGGAGCAGAGCAGATAAAAGCCTTTTCCCACCCTTTCAGCTGATAAATTCCAGCAATCTGCGTATCCTATTGACATGTGGCATCTCCCACACCAGTGCTGTCAGCTCCCATCACCCAGAAATGAGACTGAAGGACCTCAGCTAGCTCAGCTCCACCAGCCGGCCAGGAGAAAATGAGGTATAACTTTTCTCAGGCTCCATGGGCTGTTGTTATCTTCATCAGATACTTTCTTTTTGCCTCTTATATCAAGTACCAAATAAACTAAATTCCAGCAGGAGTACAACTTTTATCTCAAAACACTGCATCCATAATGAATATAGGGCAAGACTCAAAGGACTCCTGTGAGTCAAACTACCCTAAAAAAATATGGCAACACTAAAGCTGACGAATGCAATCAATTGATTTAATAAGACAGAGAAAGGAGGACATGGGTAGAATCAGATCTATGAACCCTGTTATGAATGAAGTTTAAAGGGGAATGAGCACTCTCACAGACCCCAGAGCAATTAAATCAAGGTTATGCCACAAGAGAGATCTCCTATGTCAGCAAAGAAGCTAAAGAGTTGCTGAGATGCAATGCGAAATTTCATTCAGAGTCAGCAAGAAAGAAAAAGAAAAAAAGAAAAAAAAAACCCTCTGAATAAGAGGAAGACAAAAATCAAGGAACAGAAAACCACTCTGGACTTGGCATCTCTGGCACCTGCCTCACAGAAATCCCTAAGTGATAACTACCGCACCCTGTACAATTAGAGCAGAAAACTGATATAAAGATATTTAAAGTTTGTATTTTATGCTTTTCTTCTGCAATATTTTCCGGCTTCTTAATCAAGAACACATCATTTTTCTTTACTACAATTAAAAAATAAACCACTTATTTTTGAAGTTTTTCTTCCACAGAAATCTGACACAAAGGAAGGGCTTTTTTTAATTTCCTTAAAGATTAACCCAAACAAAGCAATGCTGCAGGCAAATTCTCTGAGTGCTTACAATCCAAGAAACAGATGGGAATCCCAATACGTTGTTTTCCACCAAGCCACAAGTATCAAATGCTACAAGAAGGGGAGACATCTCCCATGGCCAATGCTCTTCTGCAAAGAGCAGATGGTAGGGAAGGACTATGACAATAGACAAAATGCAGAAACCGTAACGCAGAGGGTTATGGGTTTTCTAAGCTACAAGCACACATTTGGAAACTTCAGAACAAACTATGATTAGATGAAGAACTATTTAAATAGATCTTTTTTTTCCCCTTCATGCATATTTAACAAACTTGGAAATTCTTTTATAGCCAATCATCTGCAACTTGTGTATCTTGGATATGTGCATAAGAGGAGAGGGAAGTTGTGAATCACTTCAGGAAAAGCACCCCATAGAATATATAGAAAAAGGCATGGAGATGTATGGGAGAAAATAGTGAACAGGAAGAAAAGGCAAGCAACAGTGACAGAACAGAAAGCTAGGGCTTCACTTGCTAAAAAGATATGTAAGGGGAAAATCAAAACCAGACAAAGATTAAAGCCTTTAAAGTATAGTATTTCTCAGCATCAAAATTAAAATCTAAGAAAGCATGAATTAACAGAACTTCAGAGCATGTGTAATATAGTGCCTGCAGTTTATGTTCAGGCCAGATTTCTTTCACCTGTAAACTCAAAAAACAGCAAATCAATAACAAACTGTAACCATGACTATTCATTGGAATCATTCTATAGCCAACATACTCAGAAGATGAAGCTGTTTAAAAACTCATTAAATATCCCTGAAATAATGCTCTGCATTTCTTACATTTTACATAGATATACATACAGTGCTGATTTCATAAGTCTGAACAAACAGGATTTCCACCAGATAAACATTTACATATTTATAACTCACCAGTTCCTGATCTAAGGCACTAGGTACAGATTTGCTTCTTATGCTCAGAGTATCCTCATTTCCTTCAGAGAAAGATTCACTCAGATCTATCTCAGATCGGCTACGATCTGGAAAATAAAATCAATTAAAAAATTTACTATAATTTGTGCAAAAATATTCCGTTTCATCTTCCACACTTTAATAAGTGTTGTCTCAAACTCAATTGTTTTTTAAGGAAAAAAAATCAAAACAATATTTTAGGTATTTGTCACAAACTCTACGACAACTGAACATCAATATGATAAATGGAAAAATAGGATTCCTGATGTGGTCAACCTTTGGCCAATACTTTTTCCCCTGCACTATTTATTTGCTGTAATTGTCTCCTGTGGATATACCACAGATGAAGCTTTTGACTTTCTCTGGCAGGCCTGTCAGCCTGGAATATTACAAAACTTGCAGTCCCAAGTGTTCACAGTGATTATCGCATCTCCCACCACCACCAAACTCCTCAGCGTCTGCTTCAGAATTAAGCAATTAGTGATGCAGATGGACATAGAAAGTACTTCTGCCATTACTGGTGTTCCATGTGCAGAAAGGACGAGGAAGCGAACAAGTCTCGAGACCTGCACAAGTTTCTTTCAGTCCTACAGATCTCTCATCCACTCTATAGGCACAAGACGTTAGACGTCTTGGAGAAAGATTTTCTTAGTCCTCCTCATATAAAACTTTTCTGCAACTGTTCAATATATTGAGAAAGAAAGAGAGGGAGGAGAATACTTTTGGATCTGCAGGTAGGAATCTGGAAAGTTTTTAACTGTTCATCTTCTGCCTGGGTATAGCTGATGTGACAGGAAAGGTCACTCTCCTGAGCTTAATGTTCTTTGAGATCCTCCAACAAGGAAACAATGAAGAGTCTGAGGCTCGTTCCCAGGTTGCCTGAAATTTGCTCGGGATCCATCTGCTTTGGTAACATGAGGCCAGTTCTTTCCTACTAGGAAAACCTTTATTTTATAAGGTAGCAGAAACAGGAGAATTTTCACTTCATAAAGAAGTAGCAGTTTGTAACACCTCTGCCTGGAGTTGCACTGTACAATATTCTCCAAGAAACCCTGATGCTTTCAAGTTGAAAAAATCTAAGGTGAAGAACGTTATCTCCTTTGATTAGCTCTGTGGAATATGCCACTAGGTTTCTGCTTTGGGCTAAATTAAGCTGAAATAAAGTGAGCCTTGCTGTGTTTCAGAGAGAAACCTGTAAATCTGAACCCGCTCTGTTAGCCCTGTACGAAGGCGGCCGAGTGCCTGGGAGAAGCAGAAGAGTGCAGGGCGCTCCCGCCTCCTATTTCAGACAGGAAGAGGAGGATCTCCACCCACCGTTGCAAAGTGGCTCCGACAGCACCTTCCTGTGCAAGCCTCATTTACCTAACAGCCTCCAATGAAATGGGGTGAATTACAGCTGAATCGACTGGTTCAGTGCATGACACATAAAAATGAAGTGACGTAAAGTCTGTAAGGGACTTGTTCTCTGACAGCTCTTTGTTTCCCAAATATGCTTCTGGGCAAAGTGGGCGTGAAATGTAATGGCAGCAGCATAGTAGTATTTTATACAGATTGCAGATAGGTAGTATTTTATACAGTTGACCACACAGAGAATGATTTAACAATGTGCAATTATGAATGAACTCTTGTAACAATTCTAAGAGCATGTGATTTACCTAATACTAACGTTGTGCCAACATTACTGGGGTTAGGATTACCATTTTTTCAAATGTAAAACTTGCAAAGTGGTATAAACTTGGTTAGTAAAAGGGAAGAATTTTCAGAACGAATATGAACAAATTTATGAAACTTACGCCTGATCTTTCAATGTGCTTTAAAAACAAAAGGAGCAGAGACACAAGAATAGGAATAATCCTCTGATGGTAAAGGCTGACAGAAAGAAGAAAAAGACTTAATACTTGCCTGATGACAAAGATACCCTAGAAACTGCAATGGAAGGTGTTCCAGATGCTTTCCTACAGTGCTTCTTTACTAAATCTTCAGGTACGCTTTCACTTGCTGGAATAATCATGCCATTTTCTAAGCCAGTGTCCTGCCCAATAAGAAAAATGCACATCCCATCAATACAAAAAGCGAGCTTATTCACTACCAGTCTACAAAAGCGTCATTTCTGTTAGCTCCCAGAACTCCAAAGCTCCTTTAGCATCCAGTCTATTACTGAATATATTTAGATTACAATCTAATCTGCTTTGCTTAGTGCAGATCACGCATAAAATTTGCACAAAGATGCGATTCATGCACACATTCTGAGTTCGCAACTGAAGAACTGGAGCAATGCATCAGGAGTGAGAGGAGGGAAGTGAAACTCTCCAATCTATTAAAAGTTCACTTAGCTTGGAAATTAAAAAAAAGAAAAAACAAAGAAAGAAAAGATAAAACCTATTGTTTTTACACCCGCGTAATGATTTCAGCCAGGGTAAATCCAAATGGACTTGAACTAATTAAATCATGCCAGTACAACCCCTTAAATAAAGCCAATATGCTTGATACCATTATGGCTTTTTGCCTTCCTGTAAAGGAATAGCTAACGACGTAACTCGATCTAAATTAAATAGATTGGCCTTTTTCAACCAAATCTAATGCACTTGAAATCAAGTCAGTCTGTTGTGCCAACAAGAATATAAATAAAACAACTATTAATTTATTTACAGCTCCTGAAACTGCCCTTCATATATACTAACTTAGTTTTTATTAGGAAAGACAATATATTAGACCAAATATTTGGAAGTTCGAAAAAAATTGATGCGTTCAATAGGGCTCCGATCTCAAATGCTCATCTACTTTTTTCCAAACATTAATGGTAAAAGGCATTACCTCTGACTATAAATTTTGCTTTCCTTTGCACTTAAGTCATGGCAACCTAGAATAACTTGCTAGTACAATCCTGATTTCTTAAGAGGGGTGACTGAAACGGATTCAGGATGTGTCTCAGTGCACAGCCAGGAGGAGCTGCTTGACAAACAGGCAGGCTGTCTGGGAACAAAGAGTGTCTGCTTCTGGCTAGAGGAGCCACATCCTTCTCCTTATTACAAAACAGCCAAGGCAGCGAGCTCAGACGTGGCCACCTACATACCAAGAGGCCTACAGCAGGTAAGAGGAATCCCACCTTTCATTTTGATAAAGCGTCTAGCACACATTTTGCGTTATGCCATAATTTATGCAGAGCCCAGTGTCCAAATCCAGAAAAAACTGAAATCAGTATGGCCTGATCTTCTGCATGCGCTGAGCTTGCAAAGTTTCCCTTAGAAGTCAGTGGGAGCGTGCTGGACCCTGCATGCTTGAAAGTCACATCCTTAGTTCACAGCACTTACTCAAGGCCCTGAAGTGCCAAAAATGCTTACTCCCATCCCTTGTGCTTCCCAGTTCAGAGTCTGTAACTCATTATGTAATGCTGGAGGTTAACAGCAATTTTTAGACAAAAGAAAAATGTCTGCCAAACCAAAAACCGCATCACTGATAGAGCATGACAAATTCTGTTCTAGTAGAGATCTTCACTGGTGCCAGCTGAATTGAGGAAGAAACAAAATCTTCTCTGTCAGGCTTGTCCTTTCTGGGCTACAAATCGATCTAACAGGGCAGATACCAGCCAAGTCATCTTGTTTGGTGTCAGCTGTGTTTGGTGTCAGCTCTACATCACTGTACTTACCCTGCTATAATCTGCAGTCATGCTGTGCGTGCTGAGTGCCGGAGACCTCGGGAGGGAAGGTATGGAAACATTGCCTCTGTTCACCAGACCCACGGCCCCTTTCAGATGGCCTGCAGCGGCCTCTGCACCACTGCCGTTCAGCGAAAGAGTGCTCCCTCTGGGATGGAGAGAAGAGTATTAAAGCATTATTGCTTTGAGCAAACCAAGGCAACCCATTTAGCAAACCATTGCAAGAAAACAGCCACGGTAACAGTTTACTAGAATAACATTGCCCTGGGTGAACTGTGTGATCCACTGCGAGGAAACGCTCACCTGGAAAGAAAAACACAGGCAAAGGTGAATTAGAATTACTTTATACATACAAGTAATACAAGTATTTTCAGCACTTCTACCAGAACTGCGAATAGCCCAAATGGGCGGCTCTTGTCCAGGCTGCAGAAGCTATATTCATCCATTTCGCACTGCATTCGCATCCCAACAGTAGGTGTGACGACTCGTGTAACGCTTCCTACCAGGCCGCTCCTTGGTTTAAAGGAAAACTATGGTGACATGACAGTTCTGGCCACTTCTGCAGCCAGTGTTAATGCCAGCACTATCTCCAGAAGGTCTAAAGTCCTTGGCTATCTGCTCTCCATCCTCTCCGGAAAAACAACAGCTTGCTCACTGTCCTATTTATATTGCAATAATGACTCTTGACCCAAACTGGTCGATTCTTTCAACCAGCTTGGAAAGCTAGAAAAGCTGGACAAGTCTTTTTGCCAGGTTTCATGTTAGTAAAAGTGACAAAAAAGCATCTGTGATCAGCATGCCAGAACCCAATTGCTGTCTAATACCACAACAGGCAGAAATTTTTCCATGGGACATTTTCTATTAGAAAATACTGATTAGTCCATGCAAACACTGAGGGTTAAATAGGGTAAGCTGTTGCACTTTTCTGACCTTTTGAAACAATGAACATTATTTTAAAATGTATTTCAACACATTTCCAATTAAAGTTTTATTTTCATTTGAAATTTGATTTGCAGTAAAAATACAAGTTCTTGGCTGATCTACTCTTCTTCTTTCTCCACAAACATCAAACCTTTTTATTTTTCTTCACAATTCAGAAAAATCTCAAAAAGTCTTGCAGGACAGTAACAGTTCTGCATACATTCCTACTTACTACTTTAAAAAAAATTACTGGTAAATAGGAATTAATGCAGGAATTGCACCCTTTTCCATATGGAAAATACAATGTCAGAGGACAATAGTAGTGCAAATTTGCTGGAGAAAATTTTTGGAACAGTGTATTTTCAGCCAAAAGAGGCTTGCTGAATAAATATTTCAGATTTGCAGGCATCTTCATTGTGCTGGACAACAGCTGAATTTCACCTTCACTTGGTTTAGGCTGTCATATCACGTTTAGAGTAACTGCAGTAAAAATCTTCTCTACCACAATGGAAATTTTTATTAGAACTACTGTTGAACTGAGGAAAAAATACTCTGGAACACAACAGCTCCTGTCTCACCGCTACGTTAAGCAGTGAGCACAGGCTCTGAATCCACATTGGTGGAGTTATTGAAAACGAGGAATACAGAGGAAAACCCCAAACACCAGGACTGTCTACAAATGTTGTGCAACCATGTTTTTGTCTTTAGTGAGCATATGGTAACCTTTTTAACAATTACTATCCAATTTCGTATATTGACAACAGTAGATAATGCATAATAAACACACTCTTATGCATGTGCACTTCACATACATGCACTGCTACTTTTTAATTTGATGAGCTAGTCATCAGCAAATCCTACTGAACGTGCTTTGGTTGAATTTTAGTCCTATCTGTTTACATAAAGATGCGTCTTTGGTGCTGCAAAGTCAGAAAAATCAAGGTTACTGGCTGTCACCTGTATTTTATCAAAGCTGCTGGACTTAGACGCACATACCTTAATTTCCAAACTGGCCAATGTATGGAAAGTAGCCAAAATGTTGAAAACCTGAGTTTTACTGCATGTCACACCACTTCCGATGTATTGTTGTGACTTTATGTTACAAAAATTGTTATTTTTTTCCTCACTGTGTAAACATGTAAATCAAGAGAAGTGTTCAAAAGTAATAGTGGGCTGGGATAAAAGATGTGAAAACATGTTACAAGGGGTTCTGCAGGAGTCATCAGTCAGACTGAGTACTTGCACACCAAACCTGCTAAACAGACTTCTCCTGTACTTTGCCCTTATTTCAGTCTGCTGTTAGAGAGAGGTTCAACACATTTTATACACGTATTAAGTAGAAAACAAAAGAAAAATGTTGTTATAAGGTGACTATGCCAGGCATTTCCATGTGGTAGACAAGACCTCAGTACAATGGGATGGTGTGCCTGCGTAGATGAGCCTGAAATTCCTATACTATTTCTCCTAGAAGTATCCAGATGCAGCCTCCCAGTTCATTCAGCTGCAAAATCAGTAAACATTTTTGCTGGAGTAGAAATAAACCAGTTGAAGAGATGAACTCATGGCCTGGGACTCCCTGTTCCCAGCTCAGTATATCTTCTCTTAAACAGAAATGTTTAGAAAGAATAAAAATTCTCTGTTTCCCTGCTGGTAGGTGAAATACTACCAATTTTGGCAATGCAGCTAAAAAGATGAGGGCAATTACAAAAATTAGAAATATGCAGGAAAATATAGGACAGCTACAGTGTCACAAGATGTTGTTATATTCTTTTAATTTGAAACTCAAAACAGTTATAGAGGGTAGCCTGGGAAGCCTTGCTGTTATTTTTAATAATTACTACTCAGTTCTATAAATTAGCAATAGATGAACTAAAGCAAGCATCCTCAGATATCAAATTAAGTATTTAACCATGCATGTACAAGACAGGAATTTTCATCCCTCTACAAAGAAATATAAGCTGCTCCTCAATCCTTCCACAAACTAATATTTAGAAAGTGCCATATCTTCCATAGACAGTAAAATCATTCAGCCCCCCTACCAAAAGCATCTCCTGGCAACACAGCTGGGTTACTCTGTACTTTGACACAGGACACTGATTTGGCCAGGTGAGGATCAGATGACAGATAGAAAAGGAAGTTGCCATACTGACTCAATACGCCTAATTTAATAAATCCCACACCCTGGCTCTGGGCAAAAGCTGGAAGTTGATGCTTTATGTGAAAGTCAAGCAAGGCAATCAAACATAAAGGCTATTTTTATAGACTACTTCACTCTATTTATCCTTCCAAGTCTGTACACAGAGCTTATCAGGTGCCGAATTCTACCACCCCAAACAAAATTATTTTGCTTCATTTATGGTTAACTGCACGATAACTTCCTTGTAGTCTGGCACATCAAAACAGCTGCACAGGTCTCTCACAAGAATCCCTTTGACCTTATTCTAGTAAACTCTTAGAGAAAGTTACTTAATATTGCATAACCTTAGCGTTAAGCAGCACAGACACCAGATTGCTGAGTTTTTGTCTCTCAGATCCTTCACTCATCTCTAGTCTATTCAATGAAAAGCAAAACAAATCCAGAAAAATAGCAAAATTACTACTTCTGGTCTCATGAAAGTCAGGTATGAATCTGGTTAGATACAGAAGGCCTAATTAGCTTCGTGGAAAAAAAATTTGGTGAACTGTGTATGGATTAAAGAAGAAAACTAGCTTTAAAGCTGATTTGGCTAGTAAGTGCTGCATCACTCGGTGAAAAAAATCAAATTATCAGCTTTCAAGAAGATTGTCACCATCAACTTTAGGCATGTTGCAGAACATCCAGCAAGTGGGTTTTTGAATTGTAGGTAACAAAGGGAAGCAAGTTCTTGCTTAAACAAGAAGGCTCATCTGTGGGTGAATCAAACTTCATGATGTTCCTTTTACCTGATGTCCTGTGTTCCTGTATACCTATTTGGAGTCTCCCAGGAACACTGTTTTAGAGCTAGAAATTTCTGTTGGATCTTACAGCAAATTATTATTATTTTTCAATCCAGATTGTAAAATTTCTAGGTGTGTGCACCTGAGCAAAGAATGTGGGTCTACATCCAGTATAGACTATCCAACTGAACAAGAAAAAAGTGAGCTATCTTTTGGCTTCATTTTGGAGGTGGGACATGAGAAGAATGTTGCATCTGGCATTTTATAATGCTATCGGAGGCAATAACAGAGATCTCTTAAACCCAGAAGAATGATAAATGGAATTCTATTAGAAATAACTGGGACAATAATCATGGAAAGAAAAGGGCAAACAGAGCCTTTGAAGAAGAAAATATAAATTATAATCAATTAACGTGTCATTACCGAAGAAAACCTTTGGAACAAAGGGCCTCAGTTCTGTAACATGAACACAGCTCATCAATTGAAAGCCAGAAAACAAAAAACAACGTACTGACAGCAATCACCAGCCAAACACAAGGAGAGAAAAGGAAGATGGATGGAGGTAATTTTTAGGTTTTTTCTTTTCTTTTTTTTTTTTTTTTTTTTTTTTTTTTTTTTTTTTTTTTTTTTTTTTTTTTTTTTTTTTTTTTTTTTTTTTTTAAAAATAAGCTCTGCTTCTCAGGTAGTATTAATGCTGAGCATTCAAAGACACAATGCAACACAGAGGACTGGCACACACCCCTACGTCAATCCTGGCATGAGCTCTACCAGATTTCTGGTGCTCACCTCTCAGAGCAAGGCGTTGACTTGCCGCTGCGCAGACTTTGGGTTTCAGCTTCTGAGCCTGTGTTCCTTTCTCCTTTTGCATTTGTAATTTCTCCTTTGGCAACCGCCCTAATTACCTTCCTGATGAAAACAGGGAATAAAAGATTTTAAAAGTTGTAAGGTTTTTCCCAGGAAACAGCAGCCCGACCGAAACACTGTGATGTGCGCGTTCTATTAATTTCATCTGTCTGACCTATGGACAACTCTGGATATAAGGGTCAATAGAGCACCAAATCTGGTTATCAAATTGATTCCTATGAACAAAAAAAAGCATCATATTTGCTATAAACTGCTTTTTTAAGACACAAAACATTAAAACATCCCTCCTACTCAACATGGCCACTTCAAGCTTTGAACCAGAAGTGTCTTTTGTGAAAATTCCTCTCTCTTATTTTTTTACAGTTTATACACAGCAAAGTTTTTTTGACTAAGTATGTGTATTTTTCTCTAGCAATTTACACTATATGTGTTTTCTCTTGAAGATTTCTTTGCAATTTCTACAATTATATGTATCAATGCCCCAAACATGCTATTTTCCAAAAACATAACATCACCCCCTTACCCTGCAACATGTGGCCTAATAAGACAGAAATGTCAGAAATGAAATAAAGTTTTGAAAAGTAATAGTATTCTTCATAGTCTTACAAACAACAATAGACTGTTATGTTATCCCATGACACTAAATGTCAGTAGGAGTTGGCCCCAAAATGGCTTTGCTAAAACAAATCCACTCATGAGATATATGAATGTGGAACCTGAGGGAGGAAGAAGGAGCAAGGAAGGAAGAGGAGGAATAATGAACTACTTCTAAGAGAGGCCACAAAATATACCAGGAGAAGCAAGCCTAATTCTTGTAGGATTAAATTTCCTTCATGGGGAATGTCACCACCAAAAAACATTTCAGGCCACAAACTGAAAAAGGCCAAACGCCACTAAAATAAACAACAGACAATTATAAAAAATAATTCTTTCTTGTAGGGGAATACGACTAATAGATTTGCACAAAAGATTTCAATGAAAAGAGGATTAGAGAAGTAAACTTTAATGCACTCTTACTATAGCTACCAATTAGCGTGATTTAGAGCAACATCTAGGTCCTATTATAGTAGATTCCCTAAGCTGGTTCTTTCTTCATCTTAATTTCAGAAGCTAGAGGCATTCTGATGCTCTAAATCTGTTAATTTCTGGAGTCACTGGAACAAGTAATTCCATACTCAGCTCTCCTCAGAAGTAAAAAAAGCTGTAGAAAGCTATCTACCTATCCTGTATTTAGGATCCATAATAAAATGTGTTCTTTCTTCCAACAGCAACAAAGTTTTCCAACTACCAGCCCATGGAGCTCCAGCCATGATATGAACGTTCATCTGATTTTAATTCCCATTCACCCAGTAGCCTCAAGTTACGTCCAGACACCACTTGTGCAACCATATATTCAATGCATCTGTCCACGTCCCCCGAGAGTAAGCGAGTGCTCCTCTAAGGGCACAGCCAAACTGGGGTTATACACGTCACTGAGACTGCAAGATGACCAGCAACATCTGTTTGTTCACTGTCAGATGCACAAAAAAGGGGCACTGCTTGACTGTTAGACAGCATTTGCACAGCTGGAAGCTAAAGAAAAACTTGACTTGTGAGCAGAACCGAGCAGTATACATAAAAAACACGCCCTCCAAATGCTATTTTTCGCATTTGCTTCTTCAGCAAACCTGCCTTTAGGGACACTCTGTTACTTCCGAGTATAAACAAGAAAAATCCAGGAGTAAAATTGCCTTTTTTTCTGCTACCTTTATAGCTGAAGAGTAATTACTGCTGCATTTCCTAGGAAACAGCAGTCTAATTATAGTAAGTACGCTTTTAAACGAAGGCTGTTTCTAACCCTGGGAAGTTTGAGGCTGATGTGGAATGCTGGAGAAACTCAAGAGAAAATCCATCCCACCATATACAGCTGTTACCTGATTTATCAGTTTCCAAAAGAAAAGGCTTTACCCTATCTTTCTAGGTCCGCTGAAGACTGATTTATGTCCATTTGTGGAGGAGACTGATACATCTGGCCTTTTTTCTTCATTCTCTTGGGGTGGTTCTTTAAATGTTCTTCCTTCATCCTTACTGGAAACTGTATCTTCAGTGGAGGGGGGGAAAAAAAAAAAAGTGAATGTTTGCACAAAAAAGGCAGCACATGTCAAACAACCTGCAAAAATAGATATTCCATTTTTCAATATTAAATAAAACCATATGATAAAATATAATGAAAAAAAACTTGGAGGGTTCTTTGGCTTTTCCTTTTGATAAAAGAAAATAAAACTTTAAGTAGCTTGAAATGTTTCTCATTATCAACTCATCTTGAACTATGCTTCTGAATTTATCACTGACAACATTTAATAACCAAAGGACCTGAACTATAATTTTGCAGTGTACAGTATTTTCTGTGTTAAATGAAAGAATGTTTTCCTAATTAAAATGTTTGTTCAACTAGGAGCAAGGTGTGGGAAAAATGGCTTAAATATATTTTTTAATATATCTATCAAATAACAAAGTAACAAATCACAAAATACCCAATTTGACAGGCTGCATAATATCAAAAGCCAAAGAACATTAGATACTTGCCAGTTTGACGGCTTCTGAAGCACAGTGATATTGGCAAGATCAGCATTTTGCCAAGCATTATATTTGACCCAGGCATTTTTCCAATGGCAGTAAACCAGTCCCTCTCCCTACAAACTGCCCATACCCATCACCTTCCTACTGGGCCCCTCACTACAAGAAGGACGTCGAGGTGTTAGAGCGTGTCCAGAGAAGGGCAACGAGGCTGGTGAGGGGTCTGGAGAACAAGTCTGATGAGGAGCGGCTGAGGGAACTGGGGTTGTTTAGCCTGGAGAAAAGGAGGCTCAGGGGAGACCTTATTGCGCTCTACAACTACCTGAAAGG